GAGAGAGAGAGAGAGAGAGAGAGAGAGAGAGAGAGGAGAGCGCTCCAAACATTAGAAGTTAAACTCGGAGGTCAGGCGCTTTCGTCACTGGACGAAGTCCCCTCCATATCAAGCAGACCATGGCTGCTTCTAAGTTTTGAAATGAACTTGAAGAACGCTAGCAGCTGATGACCGATCAATATGTGAATTTTCTCTTGGAAAATAAATAAATAGTAAATACTAAATAGAATTTTGGGTCAGTCTTATAAACTGTGAAAACTAGACCAGGTCTCAGACCTGCTAGCCAGACCTACGAATTATATTTATTTATTTATTTATTTATTTATTTATTTTCTTTTCTTTTACTGTGAACAGAGAGGAGGTTTCCGGTCCAGCTCACAAGAAGGTCACGTGACAGTTGTACCAAACCCTACACCCTGTTCAGCTGCTGAGGACCTCCGAAGCGGGCACGGCGGGTGACATACGCCGCAGCCCTTGGCTTCAGTGACGGACAGATGCCCTCCCCGGGTTTCCTCAGACCGTAATCATGAATGTAAACAAACTATTTTAAGGGCTTGATACAGTCATAACGACGGCACACCGCGTCCAGTCGTAGATGGTAGCTGGATCGTGTAGTTACACTCAAAAGATCCCCCAAAAAACTTGATTGATTTATGCTCATGTCCCTTCAGTTTCACAAACGACAGCCATGCTCCTCACCTTCATGAAAATTGCAAAAAAGACCCTCGAACTCTAACTGCAGTTACACTCAAGTCCCCGTATTGATAAGAAGTCTAGAGAGCAATTTGAATATGTCCCTTCAGTTTAAACATGACAGTCATGCCCCTGACCTCCCACTGAAATTGTGAAAAGAAAGAAATTCAAGTTGCAAAAAGGAAAGGAAGAAAATACATCACAAAAAAGAACATCAAACTCGCAAAACTACACCGAAGTCCAAAACAAACACTTTTTTTTTCCCCTTTTTCCAAAACAAACACACGTCCCTGTAGACAACAAAACTCACAAAGCTGTCCCTGACAAATTGTGTTGTTTTTGTGTGTGTGTATTTTATGAAAACGCAGTAATGCAATATATCCGCAGCTGAGCAGCCACTGCACTACCACTTTCCCCGAATAGAATGCATGGTCATTATAGCTGTATTTGGGGCAACTTTCAGTCTAGATGCACTAACAATGACCATATGTTCTATTTTCTGGGAGACGATAGCAACAAGCATTATCAACACGCTACAGCCGAAAATCATTTACTTCCGCGGCCAAAAAAATGTAGTAGAGACTGCATGCAGTTCTAGTGTAGTCAAACCAAGCCCTAACAAAATAGACTGCATGCAGTTCTAGTGTAGTCAAGCCAAGCCCTAACAAAATAGACTGCATGCAGTCCTAGTGCAGT